AATGGTGTTCCGAACTCAGTGCAAGACGTATCTTGAGTTTATTGCAAGTACTGAATATTGCTACCGCTGCTTTCGAATATAAAGGCAAAAAAGCTCTAAAAAGATTGCCACCTCAAGCTGCGGCCACTAGCGATATTAGATCGCGATTAGAAGACGTGATCCTTGGTCAGGGAAGTGCCAGAAGTGAAATGATGCTGCGAAGAAAGGAAAGAGTAACCGGCGACAAGTTAAGATGGCGCAAAGATCAAATGCCTTATAGGTAAGTAATATATGTTATTTAAACCGTAGTTGAAATTATAAAATTGCACAAATGTTGATTCTTCAAGATCTTGCGAACAGCCGGAAGGCAGAGCTGTGGAACAAGATGCTCACATAGAAGGAGCCTTAGCGGCTGAAGCTTCTCTTGTCGTATTAGATACTTTAGAATCTGTAGTTCAAGCTGACGGTGGTGGAGGTATACAATAATTTTAATATATGATAAGTTTTTTAGAGACGAATTGTGACATGTTTGAAATTATTTAGGGGCGGTTGTTGGAGCGGTGTTAAAAGTGCTGCTAAGAGCGTTGGCTAGAAACCAAAGTACATCAGTTCTTCAGCATATGTTCAATACACAGCGAGCTCTAGTCTTCAAATATCATAGCGCATTGTTCGACGAGGAAAGTGAACGCTGCGGGGATTTGTGCTTAACATTGCTCACTCGATGTAGCTCGCCGCTAAGCGCTGTCAGAAGTCACGCAGCTGCGAGTCTATACTTGCTGATGCGACAAAATTTTGAAATTGGAAATGTAAGCTGTGATCTTGGTATTGATAATCTAGAAAGCATTATTTTAAGTCTTATATTTCTTGTAGAATTTTGCACGCGTTAAGATGCAAGTTACAACGTCCTTATCCGCTCTCGTTGGAAGAGGAAGAGCTCCTAGCGAAGGAGCACTACGTAGGGCATTGAAAACAGTTCTGGTATATGCTGAAAGGGATACAGAGCTTGCAGATACGAGTTTCCCCGAACAAGTCAAGGATCTACTATTTAATCTTCATATGATCCTTTCCGATACTGTTAAGATGAAAGAATTTCAAGAGGACCCTGAAATGCTGTTGGATTTAATGTATAGGTAAGATTTCGACGATAATAATCTAACTTTTGCTTAAAAATATTAATTAATTAAGGCATATATATTTTATACATTTATATTTTGTGTAGAATTGCCAAGGGTTATCAAGGATCACCCGATCTTCGATTAACTTGGCTCGCAAACATGGCTCAACAGCACATGGAAAGAAAGAATCATACAGAAGCAGCGATGTGCTTGGTACACAGTGCTGCACTGGTAGCGGAATATCTTCATCTATTGGAACCTGGCGGCGGTGGCCGGCCTGTAGGAGCCGTCGCTTTGAACGCCGTGACACCAAACGCTTTAGAGGAAAGCGCCGTGGGCGATGACGTGTTGGCTAGAAGGGAAGAAGGGCTTTGTTTAGGTCCTGATTTTTCAGAAAGCGGATTGGCAGGATTATTGGAACATGCGGCTAGCTCTTTTCACGCAGCTGGAATGTACGAAGCTATACCTGATGTCTACAGAGTGTTGTTGCCTATAGCCGAAGCTGCACATGACTACAAGAAGTTAGCTAACATTCACGGGTAAGGAGATTTAAATTATTCTGTAATTTATGAAAGATGTTCTCTCTCTCTCTCTTTCAGCTTTACATAAAATATTTTTTTGAACTTGTATAGCAAACTTCACGAAGCGTATACGCGCGTGGAACAGTTAGCCGGGAAACGCGTCTTCGGCACATATTTCAGAGTTGGTTTTTACGGTGCCAGATTCGGCGATCTTGCCGGCGAAGAGTTTGTTTACAAAGAACCGACCTTGACGAAACTCCCGGAAATATTTTCACGACTCGAGAACTTTTATGCCGAGAGATTCGGCGCGGAGAATATAGTTATAATAAAGGATTCGAATCCTGTGGATCCTAGCAAATTGGAACCAGACAAAGCTTATGTGCAGATCACTTACGTGGAGCCATACTTCGAAGCACACGAACTCAGACATAGACCTACAGTTTTTCATCGGAATTTTAATATAAGTAAGCGACAATTTAGATAAGCTGTTTCATCATTGCAAGTAATTTTTTATTCATTTTTTATGATGTTATTTTTAGAACGATTTGTTTATGCGACACCTTTCACTCCTGGCGGCAAGGCGCACGGCGAGCTGCGCGAACAGTGCAAACGAAAAACGATATTAACAGTAGCAACACATTTCCCGTATCTGAAAACTAGAATTCGAGTCGTAGCTCGGAAGCAAATAGTTCTGAGTCCTATTGAAGTGGCAATCGAAGATATACAGAAAAAAACTGCTGAAGTACCGATCAATTGTTCATATTATTTTATAATATATCTTGATTTTATTATATGTAATATAATGCATGTGCGTGTATGTATTCTTAGGTGGCTGCTGCAACCGCTCAGGAACCACCCGATGCAAAGATGTTGCAGATGGTTCTTCAAGGTTGCATCGGTACGACTGTCAATCAAGGACCTGCCGAAGTAGCGATCGTATTTCTGTCCGGTTTGCGCGAACAGAATGCACAGCCGACTAGATTGCAGCACAAACTTCGTCTGTGCTTTAAAGATTTCCAGAAAAAGTGTCTTGATGCTTTACGACGCAATAAGAATCTAATTGGTCCTGATCAGCGGGATTATCAGCGAGAACTCGAAAGAAATTACCAAAGATTAACTGAACGATTGGCACCTCTCATCGCTTGGAGGTAAGAGATTTTTATTAGAGAAAAAAATGTTTTTTTTTTTTTATTTTTTATATTGAATCTTTTATATTGTTTTTGTAGCGGACCTTCTTTAATTAATCAGCAAGCTATACCAGCAACCTCGCCACGTTGGTAATAAAACACTGCCATAAATTACCAAAGACAATTGTATTCAATTATTAATCATATGAGATTGTCATTTATATATAGCTGACTCTCCTTATCGTATTGTGAGAAATATTCGTTGAATCCTTGCTTTATAACAAAGTTGAAACTATTCCATATTATTTCTAAAATAAACGTAACATAGCTGGAAGATTGTATATATCATATATGATTTATATATTAGATACGTTCAACTGAAACGTAGACTAAGGTCGTGGTTCCATGAAAATCTCAATTTATGTTCCATTTGAACGTACCTCTAATACATATATTACATTTTTCAATATTTAATAAATTAATATTTTTTTGTTGTAAAAAAAATAGTATTAAAAAATTGTCTGAGAGATTTGCAAATATGTTAATATTAAAGATTTAACAATCAAATGTTCATAAAGCAAGAATTTAGCGTAATTTATATAAAGCAAGGATTTAGCGTAATTTATATAATATTTATATAATATATAATAAAATTTGACATATTCTTATGAGCACTTAAGTATTACAATATGATGTGACCATCACATTAAAAATTATCTTCATATTTCTTTAAACCGAGCGCCGAATATTTTTTAGGAGAACAAAAATAGCTTCCAAATTAAACTAGATTAATAAATCTGAATTAGAACTATTTCCCTTTCCTTCAAAAAGAATTTTTCGATTATATTGATTGACGCACTTCATAAAATGTTAACTTATAAAATAGATAGTTTGTGTAATATTATATAATATATCAAACGATTGACGTTTTTCTATAATTTTTAGATTTAAGATTAAAATTATTATATGTTTATAGCACTTTGAGCTTTGTATAAGATTGCACTTTTGTATTTCTTGAAATATATTTATATTGGAGATATATACAAATTCTGTACGCAGTCAACTTATATTTTATGAAGAATAAGAAAAAAAATAGAGAAAGCAAGTAGATATCTTCATATAATTTAGACTTTTCATCACACAGTATATTATATTCCTATATAAACACAGTCTCTCTTTCTGTTTTATTGGCATCTACATAAATTTTATTGTCCCGCATAAAGATAAAAGTTATTTTATGTCATGGAAATTTGAATCTGATATTAAAAAATCTGAACTGATGTTAGATATTATCAGCTTTAAAACGCCATATCGTTCGGAAGCATTTAGATTCGCATGCATCGAGCGGAAATAATAATGATACAGATATAAACGTAGATACGCGATACCTCGACTCGACAAGAAGAAAGAAGATGGAATAAAATGTCGTAACGGAGGCGAGAGGGTTCCATATTGGAGGTCTCAGATAAAAGGTTTACCTTTGAACTCGGGATGAGACTTCTCGAAGGATTTTCTCGAGGAAAACTTTGATCGCGTTAAGAGATTTCCTTCAGGGTACCAGCGAGACCGCGTTGCGGAAAATTCTTCGGAAGTATTCTCTCGCGATGCGGAATAGAGCGGAGGAGGAGGAGGAGGAGCAGGAGAGAGAAAGGGAGAAGGAGGTCGATGGCGTAAGGCAGGAAAAAAAGTATTATTCGAAATTCCGTCTCTCGTTTTTCCGCGGCGTTCGCGTGGCTTCACGTGTGCGATGGCTGGAAATTTCTTTCGTCCCTGTTTATTTTGTCTACGGTCCATTTAACTCTCAAACGCACCAACGATTCTCCCCCTCTATGCCTCTTCGATTCTCGGTCCATTTCGCGCTCACACTCCTGTTGCGTGTCTTCTCGTTTCTTTACTTATTCGGTAATCTATTTTTTTCCGCGTTAAAAGTCGCTGCATTTTTTCATATTAATCATCATTATATTTCCCTTTGATCTTTTCCTCTTTTTATCATATACATGATATGCAGCAGATTTGTTTCTAAATTGTCTTTTTACGTTTATGCAAAAAATTACTATTTTATATACGAAAAGAATTACACACACATAAGAAAAAGTTAAGAAAGATTTTAAGGCGTATGTTTATATTTCTGAATATATATCTTTTACATGATTATAATTGCAAGATTATTTTTTCTTTATTTTATATTCTCGCGGTTTGAATATTCTCGAAGTATTCAAATCGACCAATAGCGTGCGCGCATACATTACGCCATATTAGTTTCGCGCCAGTCGGGTCGGATAGACGTGGTGTGAAGCCGTCCCGTGTTTTTCGCATTTTTTTATCCGGCAAAAGTACATCGCGTGTGCAAAAATGTGTCGGGAGTGCCGCGGAAGCTGCCGGGCGATCGTTGTAGCAGATTAATCGTTATGCGCGAACGAAATTCGCTGCATTTTTCCGACATTCGTATTCAAGCGAGTGAGAGCTCTCGATTGAAGTTGTGCGGTACAGTCTCGACGAGAAGTTTCGCACAGCGACACCTGCGGTACCGTCCGGTGAGTAAATTTATTATGGCTGCACCATGATTAATCACCTATTTATTTCCAATAATCCGGTTATTATTCTCGTAACATAATGTGATCGCGCTTTCTTGAATGTTTGATGATGATTAATGAATCTGGAATTATATATAGAGGATAAAACACACACATACAAAGCTGTCTTTATAATTTATAACTTAATTTGCAGGAAAATTTATAGCTTATTTGAAATTACGAGAGCCGAGTGTTGTAGAGAGATTGCAATATCCTTAAATTTTCGCATATTTATCTTGCAAAATTTTATTAAATTTCTTTAATATATTTTTAATATTCATTTACGAGAAAATATTAATTCTGTATTTTTACTACAATATTCAAGACAAAATCAAGATGATTAATAACAGGATGATTATTATCGAGTGATAACACTTTTATAAAACTACATAGATAGATTAAAATATATAAGCCGCTTATTTTTGAAAAGTGGTGTCAGCTCGACGTCGCAAATTTTGCAAAAACTGATTCATATTTGCATATTATTGGAGTTTTCATTATGTTCAAGCATCGGTCTTATACTACTTTCAAAATGAATGATTTGCATAATCCTAGAACGATATTATACAGATATGGCAATATAATATTATCGTCTCTTGAGACGCGTACTTTATATTCCTATATTATCTTTCGTCCTACACTATAATTAATAGTGTAAAGAAGAACTCGATTAGAGAACGGCGTCATAATTAACTTAGCTATTTCACTTAGCTGGTCGCATTGAAATCTCGTTTGCCGGCGTAATTCTGGCTCGCAATATTCTATAGTTCCTGGTGTGGCTTTACATCTCTCATCGCCCCCGGCTCTAGATTCTTGTTCCGGTTTGTTCGCCCGAACGTTATCGAGTCGTCGGTAGATGTCCAGTCCGCTGTCGGAGATTCGGCTGTCTCGCGAAACGATTCTACCTCCGTGATAAATTATTTAGCATTTCGCGCATTGCCTCTAGGGATACAGAGCGCATAGGGATACACACCGCGATCGATACCGGTTCCGTTTGATTACGCACTGCAAAGTACGTGAAATTAGCAAACTTCCCGGTAGAATACCGGCATGCTCGATTCTCCCTCTCTCTCTCTCTCTCTCTCTCTCTCTTACTCTTTCTCCTTCTCCCTTTCTCACTCTCCTTTTCTCACATGCCTTTCTCCTCTCCTCTCTTCCTCTCTCTTTCTCGATGAATGCGTTAATTACTTTTCCAACAACGCAACGAGCAAAGTAATTTTCTCCATGTTGTCTTCCGCGACGACAGAGAATTTCTCAGAAGACGTCCGCTCGTTCGCTCAGCTCGTATGCTTACAGGAGCTTTTTCGCTCGCGATTTTCTTTGTGACTACGATAGCTCGCACTGGTTCGTAAATCGCGCGAGGGAAAACCGCGAAAAGCTTTTTCGCAGCAACTTCGGCAAATTTCATCCTTTTCCGTCGTAATCGTATGCAACGCGCGCGCAACATGTTCGCTGACAAAGTCTAAGTACGTAATCCAAGCTTATAATATTAAATGTGCAACCAGAACTGCAGTTTCGTGTCAACATTATGGATTCCCAAAAGTTGCGACGATATTTCGTAATCTCAACACCTCGTGCTTTCATTGACGTAACAATTTTAACGTACTGAGTTAGAATTTTCAAAGAAGCTTATGGAAACGCGCAAATATATATATATATATATATATATATAAAGTTTTCTTAGCAACGAAAATCTCCATAAATAAATATGATTAAAATCTCTTTTTGCGCTAGGGAGCTATTGCACGGTCAATTGACAATTATAGATATAATTAGCATCACGCCGTTGGATGATTTACATAGGACACGGTACCTCTT